GTCTGTACTGGGTGGGCCAAATGCCTTTTTCCATCCTTTTATTTTGAGTGACAACGACCGTGGAGTGGATTTTGTGAAGAAGTTGGTTTGCAGTCTTATTGGGATACAAAGTGAGCGTTAACAGTGTGTATATTTAAGATTATTATACTTTGTCGTTCAGCGCCGCGGCCCCCCCAACGGTAGTGTTTTGTGACATGTTCAGTGGCAGTTGTTCCACAGCCAACCCCTTTTATTTTCTGATGCTTTGCTTTAAATAGGAATGCCTTGTGAAGATTTTAGAAGTTCTTTTAATAATAGGAGAATGTTTGTCATATTCTGATTTTCATATTCCGCAAATGTGCTGATGCTCTTTTTATACAAATTTATTTGCATCTCTTGTGTTTTGTTTTGTTTTATATTCAAATTAATGTTCATCTCTATTGTGGGTTATTGGTTTCTTATATGGGCTTGTTGTTTTCAGCTCGAATGCTTCTTGTGACTAGGCTAGGCTTATTCTGATACCCTTGAATTAGGACTGTACCAACATACTGCATCTAACAATATATATATATACATATACATATACATATATATGAATATATATAAATTCATGCATACATATACATACATACAAATATATATACATATACATACATACATATATAAACATATATGCATACATAAATACACACATATGCCCATACATACATAGATGTTTATTGTGAGTGTGTGGCTTGTGAAGGTCACCATCTTATACCAATATTTATTCAGCATATGACATCAGCTAATACTCTGCCTTCTTTGCGTCCTCACCGATAAATACAAAGCGAAACTATTGATCTTTGTGTATTTTTTTTCTTTTTGATATGTTCCTGAATATGAGCATATAACAATGATTTCGAGAAAAATCGAGACTTTAAAGAGGTAGACAGAGAAAAATACTTAAATAAAAAAGGGGATTTTAATGATGCCACGAAATTTATGGCAATAAAAAGACGACTTCATAGCATGGTACAATGAATATACTCCTGACTCTTGATAAATGCGAATAAGTGAGTGTGATTGAAGAGGGAGAAAGAGTGAGAGAGAGAGAGAGAGAGAGAGAGAGAGAGAGAGAGAGAGAGAGAGAGAGAGAGAGAGAGAGAGAGAGAGAGAGAGAGAGAGAGAGAGAGAGGAGAAAGAGAGAGAGAGAGAGAGGAGAAAGAGAGAGAGAGAAGGGGGGAGAGAAAGAGAGAGAGAGAGAGAGAAGGGGGAGGGAGAAAGAGAAAGAGAAAGAGAGAGAAGGGGGAGGAAGAAAGAGAGAGAGAGAGGCGAATCAAAACGCTACAAAAGGCAGAGCGTAACTTTGCTCGCTGACTTCCAAGGGCACTTCAGGTTAGTCGACTCTGCTGCCGGTCTGGTCTCTGCCACGGATGGCAGCGAGATGCTCCTCTGAACCAGCTTTCAACATTAGAGTAACTTCTCGCATTTTGCCTGAAGGGAGAGTTTTAGCTAATTATCTTCCTCATAACTGTAAGTTTTGTTAATCATAATAAACATCACTGCCCCTGTTTGCTTCCATCATCTGTAGTGGACTTTTGAGTACAACAATAACTTCGTTGATGACATTATGATCTACTGTTTATTTTGTTAATTGTTTTATTATCACTACTTCCTGAATTCGCTACAGGAGTATTACCTCCACCGAAACCATTATGTATCTTACCGACTGCTTTGGTGCAACTTCCTGCACAGATCACACACCAGGGGGTGAAAAGGAAAGCCGAGGTCTATCTGGTACTCGCCCTTCCACGCGAAGAAGCTGGAAGATAAGAGAAGATATTGCCAAATGGGTTCGTTCAAACTCCCTTCCATTTTCGCCCGCTAGTCAACAGTCATCCGTTATGAAAATTATTATAATATTTATTTAGGGCTTGCTGTGATGGGCTCTTGCGATATCAGTAAAATTGTGGCTTGTCTGTTTCGTGCGTTTATTGTGCGAGGAATGGCCAGGGTTACCATCCACTGGCAGTGCGCGGGAATCGAATGCAGGTCAGCAAGATTGCTAGACAGCAGCGCTACCACGGCTCTACGTAGCAACACTACGTTGGTCCATCACTCGTTAACCCTTTCGTCACCCTTCAGTCTTTAATGAACAACTAGTCTATCAGTCAGCCAACAGTCCATCAGTCACCCGCCGACGAACCTGAGGACGCTCCCATATCACCCACCTGTTATAGAGCGAGCGGTTGCGAGCGATAGAGAGCAGGTGGGCGCCAAGGAGGACGGGGCTGGCGAAGTCCATGGCGTCGACGAAGGAGTTCGGTGGCGCTATGGACGAGTAGTTGGCCCCGCCCAGCACCACGGGCACCACGTCCATGGCTAAAGCCTTGAAGAACTTCTCCGTCACGTAGTCTTCGCCTGGAGGAAGAGAAATCGGGGTTGAGGGAGGTTAAAGATGAAAGATTTAAAGATTTAGTTTCAGTTCCATTTATCACAATGGATATTATTTGCTGTGACATGCTGTCAGTTTTATTTTGCC